GCAAATCTTTTCCATAGGGTGCTGTATATAATGGCACCCTGTGGAAAGGTCCCTGTGACCCAGACCTAGAGGCTGAATTAGAGACATTGTGTTTGAGGGTAGTTAGACCACTTTGATGTCTTCTGTGTTGAACTAATGGTGTTCTGCATGGCGAAGGGCATTATCCAATATCAAAAGAACTTTAAAAGGCAGTCCTTTACTGACAAGGTACTGCCTGTCATCAGGGACAAAGCATAAATGGAACCAGTCTAGAAAAAGGGTTCTTGTTGTCCAGGGCTTCTTCTTGTAAAACCACAAGCCTGGCAATTGGTGTTTATCTTTTCCCTTCAAGGCTCAGGGTTAACAACTTTACAGGTATCAGCAGTCCTCATCCTAAACCCAATTGCATTTACACAAAATGGTGGAATTAGCCTATTTTTTCTTGCCTTAGATCCTGGTACTTGCTTCTCTTGCTTACTAATAAAAGTACTATGTGACATTTTTCTCCCCAGAATAAGGTACTTTCTTCTGCATTGAAAACCTGTTCAGCCAGATATCCTTTTTCCTCAATGATTTTAATGGCATCTGAGAACTCATCTTCTGCCTTTTGATTAGCAGAAGCTGCCTCTCTTGTTATCTTGATATTTTAAAGCCAATCTGCTTTAGAAAATTATCAAACCATCCTTGGCTGGCATTGAATTCTCCAGCTTTAGATCCTTTATCTTTCTTTTGCTTTAAATTGTCGTATATTGACTTCACTTTTTCTCAGATCATATTTGGAGTCTATAGGTATGCCTTTTAGTAACCCTGCACCCACATAAAAGCTGTATTTTCAATACTAGATAAAAGAGTAATTTGCAAAAAATGCAAGGTTTTCTCCCAGTGGTGTAGGTACAGCAATGACCTCATGAATTTCCTTTTCTTTTTTTTTTTTCTGCAATGGTCCTTATGCTGGATTCATTTCTCTTGAAGTGATGGACAACTGCAGCTGCAGACCTCCATCTTCCATACATATCAAACAATTCAACATTTTTTTGCAATGTCATGACTTTTCTTCTTGGGAGCACTTCTAGCATCACTAGTGGCTTTTTGTATGGATCCCATGATACTACTCAGGGACAATATTGTGCTCAACACCATAAAAAGATGTGAGAACTGTGAGAGATCACTTTTTACTGCAATATACAATTTACAGGCCTGTGGAACTGCTCACATGGAGATAATTAACATCACCCAGTGTTTCAAGCAGATACAGCATTTGAATTCACTGCAATAGCAACAGGTGGTGGCTACAAAATAGTTACAGTACTATAGTATGTGCTACAGTTAATTTTATGCAGTTGTGATTTAGTACTGCATCTTTGTATTTGTTTATATTTCTCTTAACTTCAAATGGTGCCATGTAAAATCTGAAAGTATATATATGTTTTCAATAAATTTTAACTTTCTCTGACAATTTTGTGTATATTTTATGGTAGGAAATGATAAAATAGACTACTAGTATCTGCATATATTTTATACATCCAGAACAATCCCAGGTTTTTCTTAAATTTTTTGATATGTCTAGGCCATGTGGTTTGTCTGTGAGGTTTTTTGAAATTCTCGCACATCTCCAGAAATTTTTTCAATATATTTATTGGAAAAAATTTAAATATAAGTAAACCCACACAGTACAAGACTGTGTTGTTCAAGGGTCAACTCTGTATATTATGAGCTATACATCAATATCTATTGTATTTAATAACTTTACTTTCGTTTTTATATCTGAGAATTAAGACCTTTTTATCGATTCTAAAGTTGTTTTCATGAGTTATGAAAATAAGAACACTTGTAAACATAATATAATAGTTAGCAGTTTGGTTCCTTATATAATAGGATAAATAAAAGTTCAGAAATTGGATTTTTAATATGTATGCCAATTTTATCTTATTGTGATCATTTAATTAGAAGTATTTTTTAATAAGCTTTTCTTACCTGTTTCCTCCACCATTTGGGGTGGAGGTAGCAGGTAAGAGAAGGCTTGTTAGAGGAGATGATATTTAATCTGACACCAGAAATGTGAATGAAATTTATCTAAATAAGGCAGGTGTAAAGATTTTGAATGTGGAAGGTAGGTTGTATTATTATAATTAATGTTTGCTCATTAACAACGTACCCAGATAAGAAGTACCCAAATAAGCCTTGGCTCTAAGAGAATTCTTTATATTTAAAGAGATAATTAAAATAAGCCAATAAATAGAGTTAATTTGGGGACCGTTTCATGTAATTTATTGAGTATGCTTTTATTCTTGAAAATCTGTTTCTATAAATGTGGTAAACTGAGGTTTATACATTTCACATATGTATCCTTCAGATGAATTTTTTTTCTGTTCATTCACTGCTTGAGCCATTGCATTACAATTTTTTAAAAATACTTGCAACATTGCTTAGAGTAGAAATCTGTTTAATTATTGAGCATCTATTATGTGCTAGACACAGTGTGATTTGTAGCATGATAGGTGAAGGACAGGGCACTATGAGAGCCCGTAATCAAAGTTGCCTAATGCTATTTTGGGTGGGGGACCAGGTGAGATAAGTCCTAATGGAGGAATAGATATTTAAGCTGATACCTAAAAGGTGAATATGATTTATTTAGACAAGAATAAGAATGTTGGAGGTGTGAGTTGAGCTTGGAGAGCATATTTCAGATAAAGAGTAATGTATTTGAATGTGTATATTGAAGAAGCTATGAATAATGACAGCTGTAGTAAAAGCCATCACTTATTGAATGATAATTATTATATTGTGCCACTGTTTGAGGCAGTTTACATGTATTAATATCTTTAATCTTTGTTATAACCATATAAGGGAACTGTTATTATTATTTCACTTACATTAACTGATTATTACTGTTCTTTATGAGTAATATAGTGTTCTCTCCTTGTTTCCTCATTAGGTCTGAATTTGGGGACTTTGGTATTGTTTTGTTTTGGTTTCAGTGAACCAGAAGTGGCCTGTAGGCACATTTAGTAAAAAGACAAAAAACATTATTATGACATTTTAGCTTGTCATTGAAAATAATATTAAAATATGGTATTTATGGATAATGAAACCTATGACTATTAAAACTTAATTTCTATTTTATAAGAAATAGAAGGGATAACGAAGAAGGTAATCAATGCTATGAAAAATGGTGAGACATATCCAGATTGTGACTCATTCTAAAAGATAAGTGGCCTGGACTTTTTAAAAAAGTCAGTATCATAAAAAAGAAAAGGATAGAGAGATTCTAGATTTAAACTGTAATGAAAGAGATATAACAACCAGTGAAATGTAATGCGTGAATTTTGAATGGATCTCAGATTTTTTTTTTTTTTGTCTGATCTCACCACTTTTATTCAACAGTGTTGGAAATTCTAGTGCCAGTGCAATAAAGAAAGAAAAGGAAATACAAAGCATACAAACCAGAAAGGAATAAATAAAATTATCAGTATTTACAGATGTTATGACTGTACATGTAGAAATTTCCAAGGAATCTAAAAAACAAGGTTTTTTGTTTATTCCTGATCTTGGGGGGAAACATACAATGGTTTTTCACAATTAGGTTTAATATTAGTTATAGATTTTTTTTATTTTAGTTTTATTGCATTTTAGGTTTTGTGTCACATGTGAAGAACATGCAAGATTGTTGCATAGGCACACACGTGGCAGTGTGATCTGCTGCCTTCCTCCCCATCACCCACATCTAGCACTTCTCCCCATGCTATCTCTCCCCAACTCCCCTCCCCCCACTGTCCCTCCCCTATTTCCCCCCAACAGACCCCAGTGTGTAGTGCTCCCCTCCCTGTGTCCATGTGTTTTCATTGTTCAACACCCGCCTATGAGTGAGAACATGCGGTGTATGATCTTCTGCTCTTCTGTCAGTTTACTGAGAATGATGGTTTCCAGGTTCATCCATGTCCCTACAAAGGACACAAACTCATCGTTTTTGATGGCTGCATAATATTCCATGGTGTATATGTGCCACATTTTCCCTGTCCAGCCTATCATCGGTGGCCATTTGGGTTGGTTCCAGGTCTTTGCTATTGTAAACAGTGCTGCAATGAACATTTGTGTGCACATGTCCTTATAGTAGAACGATTTATAATCCTTTGGATATATACCCAGTAACGGGATTGCTGGGTCAAATGGAATTTCTATTTTTAGGTCCTTGAGGAATCGCCACACTGTCTTCCACAATGGTTGAACTAATTTACACTCCCACCAACAGTGTAAAAGTGTTCCTATTTCTCCACATCCTCTCCAGCATCTGTTGTCTCCAGATTTTTTAATGATTGCCATTCTAACTGGCGTGAGGTGGTATCTCAATGTAGTTTTGATTTGCATTTCTCTGATGACCAGTGATGATAAGCATTTTTTCATATGCTTGTTGGCCTCATGTATGAAAGGATCTCAGATTTTTAAAAAAAAACTATAGAAGGTATTTTGAAGACAACTGGAAAATTTAAGTATGACATGAAATATTATTAATTTTCTTAGTTATGATAATGATATTATGATATGTAGGAAAAGGTCCTTAGTCTAAGCATGCTGAAGTATTTAGGGGTAAAATGTCATTTTTGGAAAAATTGCAATATAATAATTTCTGTAAATTTTTGTCTTTTACTTGGTCATTAATGGAATTCCTAAGTGTTAAAATGCTTAAATTTAACTTATCTTTTAATCTGATATTTTCCATATAATGTTTTATTACCATATGACTTGTTGACATTTTAAAAAATCTATCCTCATTCCCATCTTCAACTAAAATGTCAGTTATTTGAGGATTGAGGCCTTCTGTTATTCACCGCTTCATTCATAGCACAAAGGATAGTATCTGGCATATAGTAGGCCACAGTCCGTATTTGTTGAGTGAACTGATGTAAGGACAATCAGTCTCAATGGGCCTTACCATTTCTATGTAATTCATAATATCTTTAATATTTTTTATTAGTTTTAGTATTGTTACTAGAAAAGATAATTGATTGTTTTTTATGTTTTAGGGAAGTTGGGAAAAAAGAATTTTGAAGAGTTTAAATAGCATGTGCACTGAACTGAGTATCCCACTGGCACGAAAGGTACTTTTAAACATTTTTCTGTTTAAGTATTTCGTTGTGAATCAAATACTAGAAAGTATGAAATTATATTACTGTTAGGCACATTTATTTATTTATTTTTACTAGTATATCAACTTGTTTTGAAACAAAAATCTGTAAAAGGCCAATTATGTGTGTATATTCCATATAGATTTCTATTTTTTTGTGTGCTATAATTATTGTAACAAATCTGTATCTTTAAAAATAAATAGAAATATGAATCTATAGTATAGATGAGTTAGACATTTGGCCGTAAAGATTAGGAATATGCTTTAAAGATTTTAATTACCTTTAGTTTACTTACTTTTTGGCTGATTAGCACAGCAGCCATATTCCTTGAATCACAGATAGAGTTCAGGTATACTGTAATCTTGTAATAGGCAATATGGTACCATCTTTCAGTATAAACGTAGGAAACAAAAAGGATAATTTGTCATCTCTCTGTAGAACTGGAATTCTATGTAGATCTAATACTGAACATATATCTGTTACTCTGGACACTGAGGAGAAAGAGGAGAAAGAAAAGAAAAAGCACTTGAGGGATGTTCTGTATTCTTGGTAGCTGCTCGTAAGTAGGAGAGAGCCAGTTTCACATCATTCTCCCTACCTGCTATTTATTCCCTGTTGTTGGACAGGATGTAGTGGATATACTTTGGATAATATCCAAGGAAAAATTACTGAAGGCAGCAGAAGGATGGTGTTTGAAAAATGATACGTTTACATTAAAAACTGTCTAAATATGTAGTGTTGTATAATACTCTGCCTTTCATATAGAAAGATGATGCTACTGACTCTTAGTCACATTCTCTTGGCCAGCACCCCTTGTGATGCTTTTCTGAGACTGCTGGATGGGAGAACGAGATGTAGTATGTGGCTGAGGCGCAGTTTTTCATTGCGAATTTTACTGACCAGTTTACAGATCACTTACCTTCTTTTATTGGACTCATTAGCACCATGTTCTAACTAAGCCATTGAGACTAGGCGTGACCTAATAGTTAAATAATAATTTAAGTGCAGTTACCCAAATTGAACATGTTTAATGAAATTATTTATCCTGTTATGGTAGTTTATTTAAGCTTTTAAATAAGTTATTGATTCTTGTGTTTAGATGTATTGCTAGACTTCAAAAAATTAAACCAGTTCTAAAATTACCTTTTCCAGAGGCCAGTTGGAGAACAGAAAGAACTTCTTAATAAATGGAATGAAATGGGAACTGATGAACCAGGTATGTGAAAATTTTTTTTCAAAATGTAGTGGAAAAAGAATTGCCTTCTTAATTGTGGATCCAAAGTAACAGAATTAACAATTCTTTTGGAAAGATGGCAATTTTCCTTCTCATTAATTTTCTATCATCTGAAAAACCAGAATTAGGCTGGCCTACTCAAACTCCCTAACACCATGTGCGACTAATAAATACAAACATCAGGAGCAGCTTTTTTGTTGTTGTTTGTTTTTTAGAGACAGGGTCCTACTCTGTTATCCGGGCAGTAGCATGAACACAGCTCACTTTAACCTCAAACTCCTGGGCTCAGAGGGTCCTTTTACCTCAACTGCTTGAGTAGCTAAGACTACAGGCATGCACAAATATGCCTGGCTAATTTTTCTATTTTTTGTAGAGATGGCGTTTTGCTATGCTGCTGTGGCTGTCTCTGTTGAACTCCTGACCTCAAGTAATCCTCCCACCACAACATCCCAAAGTGCTGGGATTACAGGTGTGAGCCACTGCACCTGGCCTCATTTATCCTTTTTTAAAGCAGCATTTAAAAACATTTTTATAAAATAATAAATTAAATTATCCAATGGATTTTTGAGATTCTTGTCTTTTAATTAAGGTGAATATTGTGCAAGCTTAATTACACTGGATTGTTAAAAATAGGGTAAATAGTGAAAAATACATTTGAAGACTTTAAAATGTTTTAAAGAATTCATTTTTGTTCCTTTTAATATTTAAAATCTAGTCAATTTTATAAACATACAATGAATAACAACTATATTTCATTTACCATGATAGATACCTGTAATTGTATAGACAGACATGTATATAACCCCTTTTCACCCTTCCTCACCACTGCTGAAAATACATATGGGGGACTAGGTAAGAGATAAATGCCGTAACAGAGGAAGCAATGAGTTATTTGAGTTCAAAAGGGGGAATAGTTTAATACAACTAGAGGAATTCCTAAGAATGCATTGTTTGTATTTTAAGTACCTTGAGAATTCTTATTTAGAACCTTTATGTTACATTGACATTGTTTGGTCAATTCAGTTATAAATAATTACAACTTGTGAATAGGGTGCTCTTAATTTCTTCCAGAATACGTCACCTAGGACATGAAGGGCAGAGGTTGTCTTTTCATTTTAGTGTTCTCTGTACTTAACACAGTGTATGACAAATAATTGATACTCAGGAAATGTTTGAATTAATCTATCTGCATGATAATAAGACTTCATATATTATTAACTGAAATTGTGTTTTAATCTATCTTCTAGATTTAAGCCTTTTCAGACCTGTTTATGCACCTAAGGATTTTCTTGAGGTAGGTTCTATTGGATAAATATACATATGTTAGTGAACAAATAATGTGAATAAATATTGATGTAAAAATATATCCAGGCAGAGGGATTAGCAGGTAAAAATCCCCAGACTCATTGAAGCAGTGGACTGACATGATCAGGTCTGTGTTTGAAAACTACCCTTGGAAAATATGGAAAGATTAGCACTGGGTAAATCAGTTAGGAAAATTTTGATTAAAAAATAGGGACTGTATGTCATGTAGCCTGCTGCCTGGGACGTATAAGTACTCAGTAAATCTTTTTTTTTTTTTTTATTCCCTTCCCTGTTCTAGTAGTCCAGAAGACATGATGAGTGTCTGAACTAAGAGAACAACATTGGAAATGGAAAGAATGTGACAGATTTGATGGAGATTTTAAGGATGATTTGGGAACTGATCAGATATGGGGTCTATGAGGAAAAAAAAAAGATAATGATCACCTTCAAATGTCTAGGTTGTATAATTGGGCAGAAGTTACTTGACATGAGATAGAGGATACAGTAGGAGGAACAGGGCTGTTAGTGAAGGTGATAAGCTTAGTTAAGTTTCAGAGGCATATCAAATATTCAAGCTGAACCCTTCAGTAGACACTTGGAACTCATATTTTAATTCACTCATCTTTGATTTCACTCTTTCACTTGGACTTTACATGTTATCCTATTAGCATTACCTTTGAAATATTCCAGAATACATCCAATTTTTGCCACCACCACTGCTACATCCTAGCTTCTCAATTGGTCTTCCTCCTTCTACCTTTGCCCACCTAGAATCTGTTCTTAGCACAGCTTCCAGAGGAAGGCCTTTAAATGCAATTCAGAATAAGCCACTCTTCTGCTATCCAGTGGCTTCCCATCTCATTTTACTTATTAAATAAAAGCCAAAGTCATGGCAGTGACCTAAAATACGCCATTTGGTTTGATATCCTATTAGCTGTCTGAGTTCATCTCCCATTACCGTTCCTCCCGATTGGTCTTACTCCAACTACTTTAGCCTCCTTGCTTATCCCTGGCTTCCTTCCAGCTGTGGGTCTTTGCTCTTTGTTTTATCTGCTTGCAAATATTTTCCCCTAAATGTCTACCTGTATGTTCGTTCACTACTTATGTCTTTCCTTATATATCACTTTCTTAGTAAAGGTTTCACTGGCTCTCCTGCTCGGAATTCCTTATACCCTTTTCCAGCTTTGTTTTTCTCTACAGCATCTTTCATGACATATATAACATACTATTGATTTATTTTGGTTATTGCCTGCCTTTTTCCATTGCAAATGAAGCTTCACAGGGGCAAGAGCTTTTTATTCTGTTTTATTCCCTGCCTCAGCACTTGTACAGGGTCAAATAATTGACAACACTCACAAGACTTCTCAGGGTCCACCCACCTGTGCCTTTCTTTCAGCAGGAGAAAGAATGAACCTGCAAACACAAAGTGATCCACACTTCCAGCAGAACTCTCAGGGCCTTTCTCAGTTACACAAGATACGTTTAGATTTTTGGTTATAAACCATCAAGATACATGCAAGATATCTTGGTCTAGGGAGCCAAGACACAAGTTTTTTGAGGGATCGTTTCTACCCCAACTCGTTATATCAAATGCAAACCACCAGTTTACGTTTTCAATAAACAATGTAAATAAACAGATGTGGAATGCCTCCCAGTTAGTTTTGGTCATTAAATAACATATTATGACTGACTACAGCTAGTGCTCGACTTACGACCACGATTGGTTCCGACAGACCGGTCGTAACACGATTTGGTCGTAAGTTGAGTAAGCTATATGTACAGTACTGTGAAATGGTGTTATAAAAATCTTTAAGTCATATTTTATCATAATTTTCTTTCATTATTGTTGTATATCATAATTTTCTTTGTTCATTTTATGCCATTTGTATCATCTCTACACCATTTTGTTTCTTATTTTTACATTCGTCAGGTTTAAGTAAAACACTGCATTACCAGTACAACTGGTTTAATATTTGCAAAACATACAAAATTACAAAATACAGGTGCATACAAAAATACAAAATACAGATGTAAAAAATACCATAGGTAACATTTTCCCAATTGCAAAACATATCAAAATATATAAACTATGTATGAAACATTTTATTGGCCGCTGGTGCTTGGCTGCGGATCGTTTATGTCATCATCTGAGGCAGCAGTTGGGGTTACTGGAGTTGATTTTTTCGTAAACATGGCGAGCTTTGTCTGACTTGTATGTTTCTTTTTTCCTTCATAAATTTCACGATATGGACGAAACACATTGTGCGCCATCTGTTCAATCCTTGCAAATTGTTCGATGTTTGGGTCCATTGCTTCGAAATGTATAAGAAGTTTATTCAGTAAAGATAAATCGTCTGATAATCCCTTAGTGGTGAACTTTCTTTCTGGCTCTTCCTCTTCTTTCTCTGCTTCTCTTCTTTCTTCTTCTGCCACTCTTTCATCTTCCAGTTCGATTAGCTCATTTGTAAGTTCTCCAGATTCTTTGTCTAGCAACTCTTCGACATCTTCCATTTCACACTCCAAAGAAAGGTCTTTAGCGAGTTTTACTATTTTTTCCCAAATCGTTTCAAGTTCACGTTCACTGTCAAATCTGTCAAAATCATTAACATAGCGCTTAACACAATTTTTCCAGATGCCATTCATGCACTTTGTTGTCACAGCCTCCCAGGTGGTAGCGATATTCTTGATACACATCAAAATGTTGTAGTGTTTCTAAAAGTCTACAGCGGAGCAGTCGTGGCTAGCGATTGTGGTTGTAAAGTCGAATGGTCGTAAGTTGCATAGGTCGTAAGTCGATCAATACCTGTAGTTACTACATTTCACTACATCTTGGCCAAGGGTCACTACCAGATTTCTAGCCTCATTGTTCAACTCCTACTTATGAGTGAGAACATGCAGTGTTTGGTTTTCTGTTCCTGTGTTAGTTTGCTGAGAATGATGGTTTCCAGCTTTATCCATGTCCCTGCAAAGGGCATGAACTCATCCTTTTTGATGTCTGCATAGTATTTCATGGTGTATAGGTGCCACATTTTCTTTGTCCAGTCTGTCATTGATGGGCATATGGGTTGGTTCCAAGTCTTTGCTATTGTGAACAGTGCTGCAATAAATATATGTATGCATGCATCTTTATAGTAGAATGATTTATAATCCTTTGGGCATATACCCGGTAATGGGATTGCTCAGTCAAATGCTATTTCTGGTTCTAGATCCTTGAGGAATCGCCACACTGTCTTCCACAATAGTTGAACTAATTTACACTCCCACAAACAGTGTAAAAGTTTCCTATTACTCCACATCCTCTCCAGCATCTGTTGTTTCCTCACTTTTTAATGATCACCATTCTAACTGGCATGAGATGGTACCTCATTGTGGTTTTGATTTGCATTCCTCTAATGACCAGTGATGCTGAGCTTTTTTACATATGTTTTTTGGCTGCATAGATGTCTTCTTTTGAGAAGTGTCTGTTCATATCTTTCACATACTTTTTGATTTTTTTTTTCTTGTAAGTTAGTTTAAGTTCCTTGTAGATTCTGGATATTAGCCCTTTGTCATATGGATAGATTATAAAACTTTTCTCCCATTCTGTAGGTTGCCTGGTCACTCTGATGATAGTTTCTTTTGTTGTGCAGAAGCTCTTTCGTTTAATTAGATCTCTTTTGTCTATTTTGACTTTTGTCACTATTGCTTTTGGCATTTTAGTCATGAAGTCTTTGCTTATGTCTATGTCCTGAATGGTATTGCCTAGATTTTATTCTAGGGTTTTTATGGTTTTAGGTCTTATGTTTAAGTCTTTAGTCCATCGTGAGTTAATTTTTTAATAAGGTATAAGGAAGGGGCCCAGTTTCAGTTTTCTGTATATGGCTAGCCAGTTTTCCCAACATCATTTATTAAATAGGGGATCCTTTCCCCATGGCTTGTTTTTGTCAGGTTTGTCAAAGATCAGATGGTTGTAGATGTGTGGCATTATTTCTGAGGCCTCTGTTCTGCTCCATTGGTCTATATATCTGTTTTGGTACCAGGACCATGCTGTTGTGGTTAGCATAACTTTGTAGTTTAAAGTCAGGTGGTGTGATGCCTTCAGCTTTGTTTTTTTTACTTAAGATTGTCTTGGTTTTACAGGTTCTTTTTTGGTTCCATATGAAATTTAAAGTAGTTTTTTCTAATTCTGTAAAGAAAGTTAATGGTAGCTTGATGGGGATAGCATTATATTTATAAGTTACTTTGGGCAGTATGGCCATTTTCACAATATTGATTCTTCCTATCCATGAGCTTGGAATGTTTTTCCATTTGTTTGTATCCTCTCTTATTTCCTTGAGCAGTGATTTGTAGTTCTCCTTGAAGAGGTCCTTCCCATCGTTTGTAAGTTGTATTCCTAGGTATTTTATTTTCTTTTTTGCAATTGTGAATGGGAGTTCACTCATGATTTGGCTCTGTGTTTTTCTATTATTGGTGTATAGGAATGCTTGTGATTTTTGCACATTTATTTTGTGTCCTGAGACTTTGCTGAAGCTCCTTTTCAGCCTAAGGAGATTTTGGGCTGAGACGATAGGGTTTTCTAAATATACTATCGTGTCATCTGCAAACAGAGACAATTTGATTTCCTCTCTTCGTATTCAAATACTTTTTATTTCTTTCTCTTGCCTGATTACCCTGGCCAGAACTTCCAACACTATGTTGAATAGGGGTGGCGAGTGTATATCCTATTGATTTGGGGTGGAGAGTTCTGTAGATGTCTATTAGATCCACTTGGTTCAGAGCTGAGTTCAAGTCCTGAACATTCTTGTTGATTTTCTGTCTTGTTGATCTGTCTAATACTGACAGTGGGGTGTTAAAGTCTCCCATTATTATTGTGTGGGAGTCTAAGTCTCTTTGTAGGTCTCTAACAACTTGCTTTATGAATCTGGGTGTTCCTGTTTTGCGTGCATATATTTAGTATAGTTAGCTCTTCTTGTTGCATTGATCCCTTTACCATTATGTAATGCCCTTTTTTGTCTTTTTTGATCTTTGTTGACCTAAAGTCTGTTTTATCAGAGACTAGGATTGCAACCCCTGCTTTTTTTTCGCTTTCCATTTGTTTGGTAAGTATTCCTCCATCTTTTTATTTTGAGCCTATGTGTGTCTTTGCACATGAGAGGGTCTCTTGAATACAGTACAACAAAGAATCTTGACTCTAGCCAATTTGCCAGTCTGTGTCTTTTAATTGGGGCTTAGCCCATTTACTTTTAAGGTTAATATTGTTATGTGTGAATTTGAACCTGTCATCATGATGCTAGCTGGTTATTTTGCCCATTAGTCAATGCAGTTTCTTCATAGCATTGATAGTCTTTACAATTTGGTATGTTTTTGCAGTGGCTGGTACCTGTTTTTCCTTTTCATATTTAGTGCTTCCTTCAGGAGCTCTTGTAAGTCAGGCCTGGTGGTGACAGAATCTCACAGTATTTGCTTGTCCATAAAGGATTTTGTTTCTCCTTCACTTATGAAGCTTAGCTTGGCTGGATATGAGATTCTGGGTTGAAAGTTTTTTTCTTTTAGGGATGTTGAATATTGGCTTCCACTCTCTTCTGGCTTGTAGTGTTTCTGAAGAGAGATCTACTGTGAGTCTTGATGGGCTTCCCTTTGTGGGTAACCCAACATTTCTCTCTGACTGCCCTTAACATTTTTTACTTCATTTTCACCTTGGTGAACCTGAAAATTATGTGTCTTGGGGTTCCTCTTCTCGAGGAATATCTTTGTGGTGTTCTCTGTATTTCCTCAATTTGAATGTTGGTTTGTCTTGTCAGGCTGAGGAAGTTCTCCTGGATAATATCCTGAAGAGTGTTTTCCACCTTGGTTCCATTCTCCCTGTCACTTTCACATACACCAGTCAAACATAGGTTTGGTCTTTTTACATAGTCCCATACATCTTGGAGGCTTTGTTCATTCCTTTTCATTCTTTTTTCTCTAATTTTGTCTTCATGCTTTATTTCATTAAGTTGATCAATCTCTGATATCCTTTCTTCTGCCTAACCGATTTGGCTATTGATACTTGTATATGCTTCACAAAGTTCTTGTGCTGTGTTTTTCAACTCCATCAGGTCATTTTCATTCTTTTCTAAACTGGTTATTCTAGTTAGCAATTCATTTAACCTTTTTTCAAGTTTCTTAGCTTCCTTGCATTGGGTTAGAACATACTCCTTTAGCTCAGAGGAGTTTGCTATTACCTACCTCCTGAAGCCTACTTCTGTCAATTTGTCAAACTCATTCTCCATGCAGTTTGTTCCCTTGCTGCTGAGGAGTTGTGGTCCTTTAGAGGAGAAGAGGCGTTTTGGTTTTTGGAATTCTCATCCTTTTTGCACTGGTTTTTCCTCATCTTTGTGGATTTATCTACTTTTGGTCTTTGATGCTGTGACCTTTGGATGGGGTTTTTGAGTGGTTGTCCTTTTTGTTGATGTTGATGCTATTCCTTTCTGTTTGTTAGTTTTCCTTCTAACAGACCCTCTGCTGCAGGTCTGCTGGAGTTTGCTGGAGGTCCACTCCAGACCCCGTTTTCCTAGGTATCACCAGCAGAGGCTGCAGAACAGCAAAGATTGCTGCCTGTTCCTTCCTCTGGAAGCTTTGTCCCAGAGGGGCACCTGCCAGATGCCAGCCAGAGCTCTCCTGTATGAGGTGCCTGTCGACCCCTGCTGGGAGGTGTCTCCCAGTCAGGAGGCATGGGGGTCAGGGACCCACTTGAGGAGGCCGTCTGTCCCTTAGCAGAGCTCAAGCACTATGCTGGGCAATCTGCTGCTGTTTAGAGCTGGCAGGCAGGAATGTGTAAGCCTGCTGAAGCTCCACCCACAGCCACCCCTTCTCTGAGGTGCTCTGTCCCAGGGAGATGAGAGTTTGATCTCTAAGCCCCTGACTGGGGCTGCTGCCTTTCCTTCAGAGATGCCCTGCCCAGAGAGGAGGAATCTAGAGAGGCAGTCTGGCTACAAGGGCTTTGCTAAGCTATAGTGGGCTCTGCCTGGTTTGAACTTCCCCCTGGATTTGTTTACACTGTGAGGGGAAAACCACCCACTCAAGCCTCTGTAATGGTGGACGTCCCTCCCCACACCAAGCTTGAGTGTCCCAGGTTGACTTCAGGCTGCTGTGCTTGCAGCAAGAATTTCAGCCAGTGGATCTTTGCTTACTGGGCTCTGTGGGGGTGGGATCTACTGAGCTAGACCACTTGGCTCCCTGACTTCAGCCCCTTTGCTAGGGAAGTGAACGGTTCTGTCCTGCTGGCATTCCAGGCACCACTGGGGCATGAAAAAAACTGCAGCTAGCTCAGTGTCTGCCCAAATGGCCGCCCAGTTTTGTGCTTGAAACCCAGGGTCCTGGTGGCATAGGCACCTGAGGAAATCTTCTGGTCTGCAAGTTGTGAAAACCATGGGAAAACCGTAATATCTGGGCCAGAATGCACCATTCCTAACAGCACAGTCCCTCAAGGCTTCCCTTGGGCAGGGGAGGTACTTCCCTGATGTTTTGTGCTTCTAGGATATGGTGATGCTCCACCCTGCTTTGGCTTGCCTCTGTGGGCTGGACCCACTGTCCACCCAGTCCCAATGAGATGTGCTGCGTACCTCAGTTGGAAATGCAGAAATCACTTGCCTTCTGCATTGATCTTACTGGGAGCTGCAGACCAGAGCCATTCCTATTCAGCCATTTTGCCAGCCACCCCCTTAATTACAGTTTCTATATTTCTAATATTTTTATTTTTCTGTTACTCAAATATTCTGTTTGTTCTCCTTTTTCTATCTTTCATGTTTTACAGTTTCCCTTGAAGTATGATTCCTTATTTATGTAATTAGGCTAAAATTGAGCTGTTAGGTAATTAGTCTAAAATTGTAGATTCTTTGCTATTTTTTTATTTTTTAAAACAAATACTATTGATATTTTTGGTTTCAATATAGTGTTTGCAATTTTAGGAAACTTTTGGTATTATAGCACATATTTTATCAGCTGTTAGCTATCAGTTCATTAGTGTCTTCCTCAAATATGATGGCATTTCTGTCATCATGATCTCCTCCACTAGATTCTTAATGGCTTTTTTTCTCTCAAGAGTTTTACTTAAAAATATTTTATAAAATTATTCTTTCCAGAAAAATTCACGTTGTTAGAAAAATAAGAAAGCATACATAAGAATAAATTTAGAAATAAAACAACCACAATTATATTGCACAGCAACAACTACTATCATTATGATACTTTAAAAATAAGAATATATTATTAACATTTTTATGTCATTACCCATATTAATTGAGGCACATTGTACTGTATTTTATTATATGAATTCATTATACTTTATTTAAATAATTCCTTATAATAGGTTAAATTGTTTCTTATTTTTCCTATGTAAACAGTACTTCACTAACATTATTTCTGTATGATCCTAGCAAACATATTTATTTTATTAGGATCATATTCTATATTTATACTAATAGAAATAAGATTCCTACATTAAATGGTGTGTCAATATCTAAGTTGGCTTTTTTCTGTTTTTTGTTTTCTTGTTTTTTTTGAGATGGAATCTTGTTCTGTAGTCTAGGCTGGAGTGCAGTGGCATGTTCTCAGCTCACTGCAACTTCCACCTCCCGGGGTTGAAGCAATTCTCTTGCCTCAGCCTCCCAAGTACCTGGGACTATAGGCACATACTGCCATGCCCAGCTGATTTTTTGTATTTTAGTAGAGACAGGGTTTCACAGTGTTGCCCAGGCCAGTCACAAACTCCTGAGCTCAGGCAATCCACTGGCCTCGGCCTCCCAAAGTGCTAGGATTATAGGTGTGAGCCACCATGCCTGGTTGCTTATTTTTGAAAATTATATAAATGACCTTTTTTTTTTAAGCTTTGCTTTTCAAATTTCTTTTTTTTTTTTTTCGTGTGAGTTTGGTTTAGAGATGCCCTGCAATCTTACGTCATCATCTTTCTACAAATCTTGTCAATTTCTGTTTTTAAATGTGTTAGAATTGATTCTAAATTTTTTCCTGATAAATATTACAATCAAGCAAGTTTTTTTTCCCTATCTCCTTCTCTGGTAAAGTGTTATAATCAAGCAGTTTTTATTTTTCCTAACCAAAAAGTTTTAATTAATTTATTTATATATTTTTTATTATACTTTAAATTCTGGGATCCATGTGCAGATCTTGCAGTATTGTTATATAGGTATACAGATACTCTAACTTTATAGAGTTTTATATCGTAGGTTATTCATTGGAATATTAAAACTATCCCAATTAAAATATATTTATGGTATTATATTTTAACATTTCAATATACTTTATAGCATTTTAGAATGTAATTAAAATATATGCATCACCCCAAATAGTAATTAATTTTGTGGTGATACACCAAGAATATCCCTGCTAATTTTATAAGTGTAAACATCCTATAAAGAAACTAACCAATTTTGTTGGATTTGTTTTTAAAGGTATTAATTAATCTTCGCAACCCAAATTATGAAAATGGTGATTCTCTTAGTTTCAGGACTCATTTGGGTTTAATTCAAGTTCCACTGAAAGTAAAAGACATCCCTGAATTGGTAAGTATAGAAATTTAAAAATAAATTAACATCATTTAGAAGATAACCATTAGAAAAAATGTTTTAATACAGCATGTATCTAAAGCAATAGAATAATCTACTCATTAAACAAATTAATACTGTGACTTTTATTCTTTTATTACAAATATGTATATAGACAGAGCAAGTTGCTTTGCGAATAGGACAAAAAATGAGCTCACATTGACCTATAAATGCTTTTGCTTATTCCATATTTTAATAAACAGCATAGATTTATGAGACAGCTTGTTGGGATTCAGATGCCTGATGTATGGCTATAAAACCAATTGAGACAAATTGTGAGTTTTATAAAACCGTTTTTAAGAAAGTGCATTTTATTTAATTTGACCAGCTTTTATGGAGCTTGTAACAAGGTGAGGCACTTAGGGAGATGGAGAACATAAGTTAATTAGAGACTGGCTTTGCTCTGGAGACCATAATATTTTGTGAGAAAATGGAAGCTCATTTTAAAATGAAAGATGGGGGAGATTTCCTGATGGTGGAGATTTCCTGATGGTGGAGTTAAGAAATTATCACTCCTTCTTTTCAAAGTCACCTTAAAACAATAAAAAGCATATAAATATTGTCTTTGGTGAAATTAGGAAGCCACTTGTAACTCTGGGCTTTAATGTATTAAGATAGAGACCTGATAATAAATGACAGGGGAGAAGAAGGTCAAACCTAAATGTCTCTAGAAGATAGAAAGTATGGATGACAAGTGTGCCAATAATCAGTTTATTATCTTTCAGCTCCAAATCCTCCTTTTTGCTGTTTTTTATTATGCTGGTCCTGGACTCTATAAACATTTCCCTTTTGCCAGCAGGCCTGATGTTAGGCTTTGTCAATAGAAGGTTCTAGAGGGACACTGCAAGACAATAGCAGGAGGAAGCGGCTTCCATTTCTAATTCTTGTGTGTGGGAACCAGCAGACTGGAATGCAGGAGGCTCAATAACATTCACCTCAGCCGTTCTCAATAGTCCAGCTCTAACCTGCTCCTTGATGAGTTTTTCCCCTACCCCTGGTCTGCCTTTGTGGCAGCTACCCTGCTTCTCTACATAGGTGTGAATCTCAGCCTTCAGGCCAAGTGACCCTTTTCTAAGTTCTTAGTTTCTTCTTTTTTACTTTCCTTTAGCCTAGAAGTCATAGTTGCTGTCTGCATTTACTTTTTCTATTTTTCCCTGTTCACATTTCTGGTATGACTTCTATTTCCTAACTAGACACTGACTGATGCAAGAAGCAAGATGATTTTCTCCACAGAACCTTAGAAATGCTCAAGAATTGGAGATAACCACATGTCACAGAAAACCATGGTGAGCCATAGGGCTGAAAATGGAAATTGTGTGGAAGTCTGGATCAGGAGAAGTTAGTCCCCCAGATTCCCATCACCATGCATACTCAGATGACTCCTCCTCCCCCACAGAAGACCAGAGGCGTATTTACTAGAGATCCAGATTCAGAAAGGCTATACAGTTAGGAGACATCAGACATACAGCAGGACAGGTATAAGCTACTGAAAACAGAGGTTAAGTGAAAGTCTGCTGGATGGTGAGACTAATACTCGCATTCTTACCACCACGACTCTACCTTCCCCACCCTCCACCTTCTTCCTTACCCTCAACCAATTCTAAAATGCTAGAGAGAAGACTAACAGGGATTTAGAAAACCCTTACAAAAAAGATGGCTGGCTATAAAATTGTCTCACAGTGAAGCCTACTGCTTTCTGTGCCTAATCCTTGCAGACAGAGCTTCCAGTCAGTTTTTAATTTTCATTCCTAATTAGGAATGACCAGCCTAGGAACCCCAGACTTTTGAACTTTTCCAGTATGAGAGGCAGAGACCAAACTAACGCAAACCCAAATAACAACAACAACAACAAAATCCAAATAGCCAAATTAGGGAATGACCACTAATAGGCATTTCAGGTTCTGATTTACATTCACATTCACAGGATGCAATAGACAATGACCTGGCACCAGTTCACTTAAACTTGTGAATGAAACAGAACAGAAAACATAGCATGATAGTATACTAGCATGCCATTAGCAGGTAGGTCATCACTGAGAGTCCTTACAGCCATCCAAATGCTACTTCAGTGCTCACAAAGAAGGTATCCAACTGGAAATGACAAGTCACATAGGCACAACATAGGGAAGTCTCATGCACAATAGGAGTGATTTCTTGTAATGTACCTAAGCATAGCATCTAAGTCCTCACGAGAGACACCACACAGGTGGCTAAGGCCTGTGTTTTCCAGTCAGTTTTTATACTCCACTCACAGTTTTCCATTTCAGATGTCATTTACCAGCCAAGAATCATACATTTCCAATAAATAGCATTGCTTAGTAATACAATGGGGAAATTTCTCTTAGAATTTTTTCTTGTGTATGTGATTCAGTACATTTTAGGGCAACAATTATGGGAGAAGGTAAACCCAATGTCATCTTCAAATGAACATTTATTTCCAAAAGAAGACTTTAAAGAAACCATTAATATTCTCAGAAATATAAGATATTACTCATGAAACAACAGAATTTCATTAATGCAAGAAAACACTTGAGGGTGAAAAAGAGGTTTTTGGATTAAGAATATAGTATGCCAAAAAATGCATATAGATGAGTTGAAAACAAAGCTGAGGAAATATTTATCAGAAGATGAAGTAAAAACGCAAAGAAATGAAAAATAGAAGGGAAAAGATTTCTTAAATTACAAGAACAGTCTACAAAGATTAACATCTGACCAGGAGTTCCAGAAAAGGGAAACAGAGGGAATATAATTAAGTTTATAAGAATTTAAGAAAGATGTGGATCTCCAGTGAAAAGGCTTGCCAAGTACCCAGTGCTGTGAATGAAAGAAGATCCACACAAGGCACTTGAAAATGAGAAAACTGAAAATTTTTGTAAAAGAAAAGCAGAGCATGTTGGTGTCAGGAATCAGAGTGGCATCTTACTTTCCGTGGCAACACTGGAAGCCAGAAGATTTTGAAGTAATGTCTTTAAAAACCTGAGTGATTTCAAACCTGGAATTCTATATGTAACCAACAATCATGTGAAGGTGGTGTAAACATTTTTTGATGTACTGATCTAAAATATTTACTCTTATTTAGGGAGCTCTTGGTAGAAGTGCTTCAAACAAGGTCATAAACAAAAAGCAAAACACGGGACCCAGAAAGCACAATTCCAACTGAAGAGAAGGAGAATTTCCAGAAATGATAGTGAAGAGAAGTTCCAGAACAAAGGCTGTACAAATCGACTGAAATACAACAATCCTAGATAGGAGCAGGAGGTTGGAAGGTTCCAGGAGGAATGCCCGCAGGAAAAACAACCAAAGTATAGATGATCTCACAGGCATGACCACATGCGAAATTATATTAAGGAGGGTCTTTTCAGAGTTGTTGTGGCTTTAGGAAAAGGAAGTAAATGGTTAGAAAAAATTGTATAAGTGAAAAAACAGTTTAATTATGGACAGTGTGGAAAAAAGTATAAGAATGGAAACATTGGTAAATATCACATGCCTCACCAGTGACAAATTTACATAGTCACAATAATGCAAATTCTTAAGATGGATTTAATTAAGAATTAATATATAATTAGGATGATGGAAGTAAGGATATGCTTGAGCTAAAATCCTTATTTACCATGTAAAATCAATAGCTGATATCTGAAACTGGTGAATTAAAAATAGCAATATATATTCATTACATGGAAATAAAGTGATAAATACCTGGAAAAAAGAAAACCTGAAAGTGATTGTGCCTGAGTAGAGGGCCAATTATGATTGTGCATGCATGTGTGCATGTGTGTTGGGGAGAAGTGTGTAAGACAGGGAAGTGCTATTTTGTTCTTGAAAGTCTTTTACCTGATTTCATTTCTTAAACTATTTGCTGCATGAAGCCAGCCAACTTGAAGGAGTTTGCTAGGTAAAAAAGCAGGGAAAGGATAGTTGAGGAAAAGATCCAGCTCTTGTGTGAATAAGACTATGTATTCTGTCTGCCTGAAGAGACCCTAAACTGGATGCACATGCATTCTTAGCTATTGGAGAACAAAAAGCCTGTGGCTAATTTTCAAGAAATTGTGGCTATAGTCCTTTTATTCCTCAGTCATTACGGATAGTTGTTTCTGCCTTGCCTATATCATGTAGCTTGGTAATATAATGATTCTGACTCCAGGATGCGTGGTTTATCTGTGACCCCAGTTCTACCTGTACAAGTATTGAACTTGGTGAGGCTCAGTGAGTCCCGTGATCCTATAATGGATAGCCCTTAAACCTAATTACAATGTTATGTAGACTCATACATATTAAAGAGGAATTCCTTATAACAGATTTATTAACTCTAGAGTGTAGTTGTGACAAATTCCTATTTACTAATTTGGTTATGTGGTGTCAGCTGGTTGATACTAGAGCTAAGTAGTAATATTTATTGAACCCCTTTGCTATGTCAGGCCCTATGCTAAGTATTGAGGCAGAGTGCAAATGTGTGTAAGAGACAGTCTTTGTCTTCCAAGAGCTGCAGGCTAGTGGTGAAGTGGGCAGTAAAAATACAGTTTCAGTATGATGTGATTGTGTGCTTGGATAGAGGCTGATAAAGGATAATACGTATGCATAGCAAGTTGCTTATTTCAGCTTGGAATATTAAAGGAGGCTTTTTCGAAGATGTGATACCTATGGTGAGTTTTGAAGGATATCTGAGATTAGGTCCATGTCTGCTAACGTTGAGTTAAAAATAGTCCAGAGCAATGAGGTAGGAAATGAATGTTCAGAGTTCTGTTAATGCTTTTTAACATGTCCTACTAGCATAAGCAAAACTCTCCATTTTAATTACAGAACCTAATATTAAAGCATTTATTGGGTCTAAGTCCTTTTTGTAATATGAAGATTATTTTTAAAAAATGAATTACAAATGATTTCAATTACAGAAGAATGTGTTAAAATAAATGTAAAACAATGATTGAAAATGGAAGAATAACAAATTTTTACTTCAGTCATTAAAAATTGGTAACATAAGATGTAGTCCTTTTTTAAGTGTAAAGTTTAGTTAAAAATTGAAATGTAGTAGTTATTTAAAATCAATACAAAATGAAATGTGTATATGTGTTTTCTTTTTTTTTTTTTTTTTGAGATGGAGTTTTGCTCTTGTTATCCAGGCTGGAGTGCAATGGCGTGATCTCGGCTCACTGCAGCCTCTGCCTCCTGGGTTCAAACAATTCTCCTGCCTCAGCCTCCCGAGTAGCTGGGAAGGTGCACACCACCATGTCCAGCTAATTTTTGTGTTTTTTAGTAAGACAGGGTTTCACTATGTTTACCAGGATGGTCTCTGTCTCTTGACCTTGTGATCCACCTGCCTCGGCCCCCCAAAGTGCTGAGATTATAGGCGTGAGCTACTGTGCCCGGCCATATGTGTATGTTAGGCTGAATAACCGGTCTTGTAAAGGACGTTAATAAATCACCAACTTAAATAATAATAGATAATTGGTAAGGATTAAAACTAATTCCATTTTTTAAAGGACAAGGAAGTATGGTTTTAACAATTAGAATAGTAACAAAATGCTGAGGCAAATATTAATAGAAATATTTAATTACTTAGGGCATAAAATGTGAATAATGTAAGGTTTTTATATATTTAAAAATACCAGACAAACATTATTATTTCCTTAGACATTACTAGATAAGTAGAGGAAGTCTGGAGAATAAATCTGATTTATTGTTATTTTAGCAGAGCACTTGATGGTCCAATTGTACTTAAAAATTAATTTGTTTTGGATATTTTCAGTGTTTAGTTGATTAAGATCTGAGTGAAGGACAGTATCGTATCGTAGAAAGCACAAATACACGATCATAGTGGTAATTTTAGACAATGATTTTTGAAGATAAAATTGGTAAGTAATACGCGTACTGTTTGTATGTGTGTGTGTATGTTTCAGGAAAGGTTTGAAGTTAGTTTTTTACTCAAAGAATAATTATCATTCCTTACCTTACTGAGTAGTCTGTTACCTAAAAAGGCAAAACCAAGAACTATTTTGGAAAACAGTTCTTTTAAACAGTGGCAGCACTCATTGGTCAAAAGGCAAGAAATAAAATTTTTCTTAGGTAGGAAAACTAGGAGAAAGAAAAATATTGCTGATGGCTCTCTATTTGGGTAAATATTATATGCTTGCATCGTTCCAATTATATATTAATATTTCCTAAATGCTTATATCTTTTCTATTCATGATTGTTTCATATGTAAATAATAAATATTATATAGTAATAACTAGCTATTCTTCTCCTTAATTTTAGACTAATGAATTATTATTTAGATGTTTAATATGTCCTTTTCTTTTTTAGCCATTTGAATAAAGCAAAGCCTCATTTTACATTGTAATTTGTATTTAAGCTGATGTTTAGGCAAAGGTGATCTTTTAACAATGTGCAGCAGAGTCTGAGATCTATGTTAATTCTACGTATGTTATTTTTCAGAAAGAATGCTTTGTGGAACTTGGCTTAAATACAGGACAACTGGGTATAGATGATTCTACACAAGTGCCTCCTGGTTAGTATTTTTCCAGTGGCATATAATTAATGATAAATGAGAGTGAGCTTAAGGTTTATATTGCTGTTTCCAAATTAATCTAGCAATATTTTTATATCTGAAAACTAAGCAGCTTTTGCCTCTCCTTGGCTGTTGTTATTTATTGAACAGAATCAATCCTGTATGTTGTAATTATTAGAGTTCAACTAAATTTTGTCTTTTTATTTGAAAGTCTTTAAAATGATTTTGAAAAGTCATTAGACATATGTTATTTTGTTATCAGAATCTTTACTGGCAACATCCTTTCCTGGCCATCGGTATCTATTTTTTTTTTCTGTATCACCAAGTTACGTGATCACTGACATTATTTTTGTATCATCAACTTAAGTGAACACCTTGAGTCAACTTAGCCTTTAAAAATAGTGTCTTTTAAACCTTAATAATCCAAGCAGTTTTCCTAACTTTTCCCTTTTTGTGCATAAATTCAATTATTAAATAAGTAGATTGGTATTTAGCTTTAATAAAAAGGAAGTAAAGATTGACTTAAAGTTTGGGAGCCCTGTACTGTAGTGGAAATAATACTAGATAGGGGTTAGGAGACTATTCTAGTCTTTTCTCTGCCACTGGCTAGCTGTGCAACTTGCACAAGTCACAATACATCTTTGGATTTGTTTCTTCCTCTATAAAATAAACAAGTTGGATATTGTTACTATTATAATAGCAATATTACATAATTACTACTATTATTATTACTATATAATCAGAAATAACGATTGAGCACATACTATATATTGCATCTATATTGTCTTATTTTAACCTCTCAGCAACTCCTTCCTATTTCCATTTTTTTAATATCTTATTAATGTATAATGCATATAGAAAATCACATAGATAATTAAGAGGACAACTTGAATTTTTACGAACTGAATACATCTATTAAAATACCCAGAACACTAAACAGAACCCCTCTTTCTACCCTCTTTCAATCTTCAATCCCCATTTCAAAGATAACTGATTTCTAGCAGCATAGATTAGTTTTTCAAATTCTTGAACTTAACAGGAATAGATGCATATAGTGTGTCTCTGCGATGTTTGACTTCTTTTGTTCAAATTATATTTATGACATTCGACCATATTGTTGTATGTATTTGTGGATCATTTGCTTTCTAGTGTTCCATTGGATGCATATACCACACATTTGTTTATCTATTCTATGGCTGATAAATATTTGGGAAGTTTCAAGTTTGAGGCTAGTACAAATAAGGCTACTATGATCATTCTAGTATGTGTTTTTTAGTGAACATATCTATATTCTGCTGTTGGGTATATACCTGAGAATGCATTTTCTAGGTCCTAGAAATATTCATTCATTCATTCATTCATTCATTGGTATTCATATTTGTATATGTTCATCTTTAGAAAATAACTGCCAGTGAGTTTTAAAAGTGGTACTACCAGTTTACACTTTCACCAACAATGTATGAGAGTCATAGTTTTGATGTATGTCCTTACTAATGCTTGGTGTATTTCATCTTTGTTTTAGTCAGCCTGGCAGTGTATAGTGGTATTGCATTATGGTTTTAATTTTCTTATATAATGTGATATAGGATTACTACCCATTTTAAAGTTGAAGATGTGGAGATGTTAAGTAACTTGCTCAAGGTCACAAAACAAGTAACTGGTAGAGCCAGGATTCAAAACTAAGCAGTTTGTCTCCAGAGCCTATTACACTGTGCTGCCTCCCTCCTGCCACCTTTGACAGCCTTTTCTTATTTTATAAGAAGATGTAAAATCTTATAAAATAAAATATCTTATACTTTTATTCATGGCAAATGATAGTCATATAAGAAGAGGAAAGGAAGTAGTAGCACAACCTTGAATTATATTTTTATTTTTCACTTTTGAAATAATATTTTTCACTTTTGTAATCTTTAAGAATTATTTAAAATTATTCTAAATATCATAGTATCTATGCTATGATATAGCATAGATATTTTAGAAAAATATCATATTTTAGAAAATATATCAGATATTTTAGAAAAATATCTAAATAATATTTTTGACTTTTGTAATCTTAAAGAATTATTTAAAATTATTCTTAATATCATAGTATCTATGCTTTAGAAGACTTAATATATGCATTTTAAACTTACAGTGTGGATTTTCCTTCTTTGATTCACTCATAATAAAACAAATGTGTTTGAGACCCTACTGAGGGCCAGGGACTGGTGGATACAGAGATATACACAGAATACATAGACATAAGACATAATCTCTGCTTTTAGGAGAAAAAATGGTGGTAAGTGACAGATAAAATACAGTGTGGTATTTGCTGTTATTACATTAAAGGGTGGTTGGAGCATGTGGAAGAACAACTAAGCCTACTTGAAGGAGGTCGACAATCTCTTAGTTGATGTGGTTATTGTTCTCTCTCTACTTTTCAAAGCAGGGCTGCTAAAAATTGGATCAAATTAGTGTTTACCCAATCAAATTGTTTTTAGTGGTATTGGACTTGGATTTTTGCCTGACTTGTGAATTGCTGACAACAGTGTTACTTGAAAGAAATATAGTGTCATATATAAATATTTTTGCCTAAAATTCATTATTATTTTATTTTTTAGTCTGTGTCTTTTGCTTTGACTAAATTTGAAATGTAATGCTAATGTTTGAAAATGTTGCTCATACTTGTGTTTGGCTAGAGGCAAGTTTTATATTCAGAATTAAGTTTAAGTGTGACTTAAAGAAATTGGTTTCTTACTCGTCTTTAAAACCTCTGTTACCTATGTTTTATATCACTGTTATTCAATTATTATTATGTTTGAAATGCATTTCTTATGAACTTATGAGCTTTTATATAAAAGTCAGGAGAAAAAGTCTTTACAATGATACTATAGAATCCTTATTCACAATGATAAAAAAAAGTCATAGCCATTATCTTTACAAACTCTCATGAACATGTGTTGCATTTATTTTAAATACACACACACACACACACACACACACACACACACACACACATTTACTTTGAAATCCATTTATAAGACAGATGTTAACAGAGTGAGCAAGGTCAGCATTCCTTCATGAGCCTTTATGGTAAAGGAGGTCATATGTCTGATACTGTCAGAGTATACATAATAATGAATCTTATTAGATGATGGTTCTGCTAAATAGACATTTTCTTTCTAAAAGAAAACATCATACTCAGTTGGTGCAGTGTTTCCTGAAGTGTTATAATGCAGAGCACTCATAAGACACCCTGTGAAAAAGAGAATCTTGTCAAATAAGGTTTGAGAAGGGTTGTATTGTATACCTTCTTAAAATATACAGTGTGTGTTGCTATCTTAAAGACCATGAGAAGTCTTAAGTAAATTATTCTAGCTTAGCATCTTCCAAGAGCATTTTAACAAATTTTTTTCCAAGGAAGATCTATTAATATAGATGCATCTATTAACATAACGGTCCTGAGAGCACTCTGAAAAACACAGAATTGGAGTATAAGTTGGAGATTCTGGTACTGACCTTTTGAGGCTTCTTATTCTTAGGACAGAAAATAGCATTTAGAAAGCAAAATTAGTTAAATTCTTTAAAGAAGTCTTTTTGGTTATTGTTATTTCTTACTACTTTGGGTAATAAAGCACTGTTATCATCTAGTAATACCTGCTTTTATTAGAAAACGAGAATTGGCTAGCAACTTATTTTTAATTGATTATTCAACTGTTCTTTAGTCATTGAATGAAAATTATGAATATAAAACATTTCTTGGCATATTATGAGAAGAAAATCTTGAACTGTGTAAACTACATTGATTGAAATGAACATAAAGGATTATAATTTGAATCTGAAGAGAAATTTTAACTAAGGATTAAGTTAAACTTAATTTTAACTTAATCCTTAGTCAAGGAGGATGGAAAAAAAATCAGGTTGTTAGGGGCTACTTTTGTGATGGATGTGCCTATCAAGATAACTGAGAAAAACTAGTTATGGAGTTCTATATGAAGAATATCTCCAGTGCGTGTAATATACTGTTTGTTATTTTCTGAAAGTTTACTGAACTAAGCCCCACTATAATATGCTGCCATATTACATCTGCCATCTTATGCTATTACAGTGTTCACTGAAGCATTGTTTCTTTTGTCACTAAGCCTCAGAAGTCATAGCTGATTAAAATGAAACTGTATTGTTACTATATACATATATAGAGGCTATATATTTATATAAATATGTATATATAACTATCAAAATATATATAGTTATGTATATATAACTACATATATTTATACATATAATCATTATATATATAAATGGTTTATGTTAGGGATCCCAGACACTTTCCTTAGTCATTATATAATCTGCTCAACTAATTACTTCCTAATTACTTCAGAGGTATTAGGAATACAATAAAAGAATAAGGCACTCTGGCTCAAATACTCTAGTGAAAAAACAGCTTTATGGATTTTTTTAAAAGACTAAAAAATCATGTATATACAGATCTGTGAATTTTTACAAAGTGAACACACTTGTGTAACCTCCAGCTAGACCGACAAACAGAATATTACCAGCATCTCAGAAGCCCCCCTAGGTACACATCCAGATTCTGTCACTCTCATGGGTAAAAACTATTCTGACTTCTGTGTTTATTTTTGTACTTTATAGAAATGGAATCATAAAGTATATACTCTTCCGTGTTTGGCTTTTCTTGCTTTTCTTTGTAATGTCCATGGTTTTGTAGAGACTTATAATTCATTCATTCTCATTGCTGTATTATAGTGGTATTCTATTGTATGAATATACCACTATTTAGTATCCTGCCGATGGTAATTTGAATTCTTTATATTTTCAGTTATTATCAATGGTGGTGCTGTGAATATTCTTGTACATGTCTCTTAGTGCACATGTGTATGCATTAGGGTTTATAACTGAGAGTGGATTTCTAATTGTCATGGGATATGCACATATATTCAGTGTTAGTAGATATTGCTGGACAGTTTTCCACAGTGTACCAAGTTCTACTCCCACTAGCTTTGTATGAGAAGTTCATTTGCTCCACATCTTGTACATTTAAAGTTGTCAGTCTTTTTCATTTTAGCTATCGTGGAGGTTGTGTATTTTATAGTGGTTTTAATTGCATTTCCCTGAAAACTACTGTGGTTGAGCAACTTTTTATGTTTATTGGTCCTTCAGGTCACTTCTTTTGTGAAGAGCCTCTGTTTAAGTCTTTTGCCTGCTTATGTCTGAGAGTCATCTATCTTTGTCTACCAGGAGTTCTTTATATATTCTGATAGGAGTCTTTTGCCAGATATATGTACAGCACATAAATTCTTCTACTCTATTACTTACATTTTCACTCTCTTAACAGTGTTTTTTGATGAACAGAAATTTTTTTTTTAATGTAATGTGGTCTAGTTCATGATCTTTTTCCATTATGATCTGTACTTTAAAAAATCTCTCCATAGAATCTTTTAAAATGGCATTTGTATAGTGAGATTTTACCTATATAGTAGTAAGGCTTTTATGAGACAACCAGTGGTAGATAGGAGTGGAAGTAGGATTTTGTAAATTAAGCTGTCGGTAAGTTTTGTTTTTCCTTTAGAAAAAAATTAAATGAACAGGAACATTTTTGTGTTATGAGGAGATATTTTAACAAAGGGAAAGTTCATTCATCATTTTTTTGTTTGATTAAATGCTCATTTTAATTTTAAACAAAAAATTATTTAACTTTAAAAAATTTAGAAAAAATGTTTTTACATATATGATATTCTTGGCAGTTTTCCATAGAGCCATCTGGCTTTAAAAATCATTGAACATATCAATACCAGAAAAATGTACTTAATCTTGTTCTAAATGTTGTTGATAATACTCGTGTCTAATAGTTTTATTTTCTTTTAACATTTTTAGAACTTTTTGAAAACGAGCATGTACGTATTGGACAAAAAGGTAAGCTTTTAATTATAAATGTTATTATTTCTGAAAAATGAGAGAGTCCTAAGTAAATGTCTGCCTCAAATAACCTCCAAGAGAAATTTAATCTCTGAAAAGCAACAAACCTAAAGAGGAGTAGTATTTAACCATGCAGATTATATAATGAGAGTCTTTATAAGTAGGGAAAATGTATCATTTTGGCTTTATCAATAAATGTCAGAGAAAGAAGTACACAGCTGGTTCACTAAAAAGGAAATACAGACACATATTCCTCAGGGATGTTAACTTAATCCATTCGACTGTAGAATTTCATTTCAAAATCAAAAAGGCAGGTTCTGTCTTTGATGCACCCACACACCTCTCATTAGAGTTAATGGGAATATGCTCACGCATCAGCAGAAAATATAACTGTAATGGTTACCAGTGATCATTCACAGTGGTATGACTTAATAACCAAAGTGTGTCTTAGTGTCCTGGGGAATAATTTTTCTCTATCTTTCGAAGATTCTTCTCCTTGTTTTTATAAATCCTATTTTGTCTTTGAAATATGAAGGATAGATTGGTCTTTGTATCAGAATGAACCTAGTATGACAATTACATTATCATGTACCAAATTCCCTAGTTCAATTTTTAAAAATAATATTTATTTAGAAGACTTTCTTTGTATGATTTGACACTTTTATTAAAAGCAATTGCAAATTAAAGAATATGTTTCATCTCTTTTATTTCATGATTTGTTTCTTCTCCTCATGTCATTTTCATTTAATATGAGATTATTTTCCATTTCTTTTTAAGAAGAAAATATAAGAAAACACTGCTGATTAGATTAACATTAGCAGTTGTTTTGATGCATCTTTTTTTTGGTTTTGCTTCATTTCGGTTTTTTTGGACCTTTATTTCCAGACTGAGTAGCTGACATTTCCATTAAAGAAAATAAAAATGAAAATGAAAGCAAAAGATAACATACTGATTGTGTGAACTTAGCTTCTTAAGAATAATTTGGGCCTTTTTACAAGTTTATGAGATCTTTGTTTCTATGTCTTTAAAAATCCCTGTTTTCTGTTGATTTTGGCAAATAACTAAGAAGTCATTTAATAGAATAGATAGCCAATGTTCTTATATATTGTAATTCCTTTTTTTTCCCCATTTATTTATTTTATTGCATTTTAGGTTTTGGGGTACATGTGAAGAACATGCAAAATTGTTGCATAGGAACACACGTGGCAGTGTGATTTGCTGCCTTCCTCCCCATCACCTACATCTGGCATTTCTCCCCTTGCTATCTCTCCCCAGCTTCCCACCCCCCATATATTGTAATTCTTAGCCATGAAACTTGATATACCGTACTATTTCCAAACAGTAGACCATTCATGGTATAGTAGAATATGCATAAGAAATTTGGAGTTTCTGTAGCTGTGAATTTACTTGATCATAGAATAAAAATTATACACACGCACACACGCACACACACACACACGGACATACACATACACAGTGCTAGTTTCAGATCCATGAAGCTATAGTTGTGATCTCAAACTATATGAATAGAAGTGATCTCAAAGTCCTTACATTTAGTCCCTCCCTACCCAGACTGGGTAGGAGGTGGAAGAGCTTAAGGCTTGAAACTGGGAGGGCTGCAAATAGGGCTGTATCGAAATCCAGAGAGTAAATTTTAAAAGGTCAAGATATGGTGTAATTATCTTAGATAGAAAGACTGAATTTATAATTGAAGATTTATAATTGAAGATTTCAGTGATGTTTCTTATTATGAGTTTTCTAAGGAGATTTTCATATACTTTTGAACAGTTCTAGCAGAACAAGATAGTGCTGCTGCTCAACAGTACATCAGACAAGGCAGTCCCACGGCACTGAGAGCTGAATTGTGGGCTCTCATTTTGAATATTTCCAGTGAACCTGAGGTAAGAAAAAAAAAATGGGTCAGATTTTAGCGTTGGGCTATTTATTTTTCAAAGACCAGTTATTTAAAATAGAAAAAACTTGTTTCTTAATCTATTGTTAACCCCCTTTGTAACTTTTCAAAATCACTGTAGTTTTAGGTTCTAAAATTTAACGTACAATTTAAACATATAATCGTCTGCTTAATACAGAAGTTTTTGTTATTAATAATTAGTGAAATGATATGACATTTTATATACAACAAAACAAGTAAAGTTTTGAGAAGCAGAGACTGACAATTTAGATCAGTGAAGATGTGTGGTAGAATAAGGATGTTAGACTAGGGAGAAATAAAGTAAGGCAACTCAGGTTAAGTAAATGAATTCTTTGTCCCTACAGGAAACTTTGAAATATGCACTATTTTTATGGTTCTAAAAATTGACAGATTAAGTGGGAATCTTATTTTTCTATATGTAAGAATATTTTATTTTAGGAAATACAACTATGAAAAGAGATCACCAACAGATAGGGAATAGATTCAGTAAAGTAAAATTATGTAAGACATTGATTCTTGAAATATTCTTAGCGGGGATTTTTTGTTTGTTTTTTGCTTAAATCCATTAGTCATAGAAGTCATCCATTTAAAAGACTTTAATGAATAGTTTTCTATTCATTTTCTAGTAGTTTTCTAGCCTGGTGGTTAAAAACATGGGCTTTGCAATTATACTGATATAGTGTCAACTTCTACCTCCCACAGCTTACTAGAAATATATCATTGAGCAAGTACTTAAATTTCTTCAAACCTCAGTTAACCCACACTTAGATATAGGTAATAATATTTATATCACATAATCATTCTTAGAATTAAATGAAATAATGTACATGTACTTTTAACCAGTATCTGGAACATAAATGATCACCATTAATAAAAGTAATCATAAGAGTTACATATTACATGTAATTGTTATAAGTTAATTGTAATTAATAATGATGTTTTTAAAGAAAATCAAATATTATTAATATTGTTATAAAAACTATACCTATACCCCTTGCAAACTATGTATATGTGCTTGTGTGTCTACTATGTTTTAAGTCTCCCTCTGGACAGCTCTGTCAAAAATCGCTTGCTTCCTTTTTGAAACAATAAAGCTTGTAATTTATTTCAGAGCAGTTTTAGACAAATGATAGTGGTAGCCTTTTATAGTGATACCTTAAAGAAAATAGTTTGTAAAATAGGCTTGAGTAGATATTGAACCTTTTTTTGTGAGTATGTCAATTCTTGTAGAAGAAGATATAACTTTTGTCCTGATCTAACTTTGTAGATGTGCTGCCAACTTAATTGTATAGAAATTGGATTGACAAATTCTGTCTCTTTGCAGAGGAATCAGTGCCATTGCAAAATCAAATTTAGAGTATTTCCAGAAGTATCATCCTAATAACCCCAGATAATAATAAAGTACTAATCCCAGATAATGATTATTTTTTACAGTGTTCAAAGTTGGTTTTTACAACTTGTAGATATTTTCTTGTAAAAAGAAAAAAGTTTTTAAGATGATTTTTACCTCTGAATTTTGGAGCTAATAGCCATCTGAATTTTCTAATTGCAAAGTGACAAGTCTATTCAAGATCTGTAAATAGAAATTAATATCTTCAGAAAAGCAATCTAATTTTTTGATTAAAGCGTATCACTTACAGTTAATTTCAGCTATAAAAGTGTGACTCCAATAAACTATAGCAGTTCCAAAATAATTTTTGTAGGTGATATATTAGAGAGAGAGAGAGAGAGAGAAGGAAGAAGACTATTTCTTATTGAGAATACCTTATTAGAATTTTTTGTTGAATCACTTTTCAATCACATAAAATAAGCTGCACATATAATTGTAGTCATAGTTGAGGTATTAGACATAAATGGAAGATTTTACATTTCACATACATAAAGCTATCTCTTTCAATACCAAGACTTTGGATATAATACCTGTGGTTCTTAGTAGTTAATTCTTTTCATACCTTCAGTAGAATATTATCCAGCTTTCATTTTTTAAAGAAAATATATGATAGGTTTAAAAGGATTGCTCTTATATATTTTCTTTTCTACACATTTCTAGGTATGTGTCAAAATATCCATATCTGGTAAACATTGTTCATATTTTTAAATGTTTTCATTTCAGTTTGCTAATTTAAGATAGAAAATGCCCCTCTACTTTTGTTCTAGGTGCTTGCTCACTGATAAAATAGCCAAGACTAATACTAACGTTTAAGATTTTCTTTAGTGATTTCTTAGCAAGGTTCTTACAAACTTACCTTGGCTAAAAATGTTGCCTGACCTGCCTAGATTTTTGTGGTCAGCTCACTTAGTCTTCACAGTACCGGTTTCTGACTTCCACTCTCTTCATTCCTTCACTTCAGTCTTAGCAAAATACTTCACCTCCTAGAATTCATCATTAGAAATTTATTCAAATTTCCCCTGCCAAACTTGTAGACTTAATTGCATCAGCACCTGCTCTTGTCCTCATCCACTTTTATTTAAATGGAAGAAATGTCAGGCTGGACATAGTGGCTCACACTTGTAATCCCAGAATTTTGGAAAGTCGAGGCAGGTGGATCACCTGATGTTGGGAGTTTGAGACCAGCCTGGCCAACATGGAGAAACCCTGACTTTACTAAAAATACAAAAAATTAGCACCATGGTGCTGTGTGCCTGTAATCCCAGCTACTTGGTAGGCTGAGGCATGAGAATCACATAAACCCGGGAGGTGGAGGTTGCAGTGAGCTGAGATCATGCCACTGCACTCCAGCCTGGGCAACAGAGCAAGACTGTCTCAAAAAAAAAAAAAAAAAAAAAAAAGAAAAGAAAAGAAAAAATAGAAATATCCACCTCTTATACTTGTTGGCAGTGTTTAACCTCATTGACTACTCCTTTATTGAAACATTCCTTGGTTTTTGTAACACAGTGCTCTTTCTGGCATTCTTCATTTGTAGAGGGTCTTTTTTGTCTTATCAGTTAGGGTTCTTGCGGGTCTGTTTCTTCTTCATACATTCCTTAGCAAATCTTACACATTCCCAAAGCCTCAGTTCCCAATTACCTCAAATCTCTATACCTTCTTCTCAGATCTCTCTTTTCTAAACTTCAAATACAGCTGCCTAGTGGACCTAAATTCCTTTTTTAGTACAACTGTCCTTCAAGGAACCATGGCCAGAAACCTGGTGTCATCCCTAACTCCTGAATATTATATTATATTGCTGAATCATACCTTCTTGATTTAACTTCTAAACATGTTTTATATCCAACTGTCTCTCTATATTCACATTACTACCACTCTCATTTCAAAATACCATCATTTCTTGCCTAAATTAAAAAAAAAAAACTTTCTACCTTATCTTTCTAACTTCAGCCTTGTTCCCTATAAATTCTTTTTCACCCTGCTTTGTAAAAAACTGAAATCTGGTGGTATGGTTTGGCTGTGTCCCCACCCAAATCTTACCTTGAATTGTACTTCTCATAATTCTCACATGTTGTGGGAGGGACTAGGTGGAAATAATTTAATCATGGTAACAGTTTCTCCCATCCTGTTCTTATGATAGCAAATGAGTTCTCATGAAATCCAATGGTTTGGTTTTAAAAGGCGCTTCCCCCTTTGCTGGACATTCGTTCTCTCCTCTCTTTGTGAAGAGGTGCCTTCCGCCATGATTGTAAGTTTCCTGAGGCCTTCCCAGCCACGTGGAACTGAGTCAATTAAACCTCTTTCTTTTATAAATTACCCAGTCTTGGGTATTTCTTCATAACAGCATGTGAATGGCCTCATGGTAAATTAGTATCGCAGAGAATGGGTTGCTGCTATAGGTACCTTAAAATGTGGAAGTGACTTTGGAACTGGGTTACAGGCAGAGGTTGGAGCAGTTTGGAGGTCTCAGAAGAAAACAGGAAAATGTGAGAAAGTTTGGAACTTCTAGAGACTTGTTGAATGGCATTGACCAAAATGTTGATAGTGATATAGACAATGGAGACCAGGCTGAGGTGGTCTCAGATGGAGATGAGGAACTTATTGGGAACTGGAATAAAACTGATCCTTGTTATGCTTTAGCAAAGAGATTGGCAGCATTTGTCCCTGCCCTAGAGATCTGTGTAACTTATGTCAGTTGAGAAAAATGACAAGACAAGTCTCAATCATTTTAGGAGGTTTAGTTGCCAAAGTTAAGGATGTGCACCCTGAAAATAGATCTATACCTTCTCCAAACATGATTTTGAGGGCTCCAAATTTAAAGGGGAAAGAGTGAGATGTTGAGAAGTATACAATTTTCATGAAAGAGGGAGATGGGGGAAAATAGTTATTCATGCCTTTGCCTGGCCCAGTGAATCTGCATTTTTTTTAACCTAAGATGACATAGACAAATGGGGCAAGGAAAAATGTGAGGAGTCCTCGTTTTTACACAAGATAACATAGAAAAAATAGGGCAGGGAAACAATCAGATATGCTTTGGGGGGGGGGGGGGGGGGGGGGTGGGTGGACTTGGTGGTGGTAGTGATTGCACCTGTAAAAACAAGCCATCAATTTACACTGCCATGGTGAAGTTTTAACAGAAACACCTTAGGGTAAAGATCTTGGAGCTCACTAAGAATTTTCTTGTGGGCAAAATATTGGGGAGGTGTGTAGCTTTTCATCTTTTAGTCCTCTTTTTTAGGAAACAAAAGGGGAGGTAGTTTTGCCTGACCCACTTCCCAGCTTGACTTTTCCCTTTAGCTTGTGATTTGGGGATCCCAAGATTTATTTTCCTTTTGCACTTTGCACTTAGGAGAGATGATTTAGGGTATTTGGTGGAAGAAATTTCTAAGCACCAAAGCATTCAAGACACACCATAAAAAGTTGGAAAATTTGCAGCCTGATGATGTGGTAGAAAAGAAAAACTCATTTTCTGGGTAGAAATTCAAGCTGGCTGCAGAAATTTGCATAAGTAGTGAGGAGCCAAATGCTAATTTCCAAGACAATGGGGAAAATGCCTCCAAGGCATGTCAGAGACCTTTGCA